TCTCTCTCTCTCTCTCTCTCTCTCTCTCTCTCTCTCTCTCTCCAGAGATAGAATCGTTGTCGCCCCGCATCGAAATGCAGGTCGTGTGATTTCACAAATCGATTACGCTTCGCACATAAGTTGCCCGTGAATCCACAGGCACTTGGAGCGTTTCAATAAAATATAATGCTAAATAAATACGAAATCTATTTACTACCAAAGTCTTAATGTTTCTATACTCTCTTTCACCTATTATTGCCGACAATTTCTTGTAAATGCCGTCCAAATGCTCATCTACAACAAACACTGGCTGCCGCCATTGCTGCCGCTGCACACTGACACATAAATAAATATAAACACTATATATTTATGTGTCAGTGTGCAGCGGCAGCAATTAATGGCGGCAGCCAGTGTTTGTTGTAGACTAGAGTCACTAGATGAGCATTTGGACGAAATTTACAAGAAATTGTCGGCAATAATAGGTGAAAGAGAGTATAGAAACATTAAGACGTTGGTAGTAAATAGATTTCGAATTTATTTAGCATTATATTTTATTGAAACGCTCCAAGTGCCCGTGAGCACGATGGTGCGCCCACGTAACATGCACGATTAATCAGCTCTTACGATCGTTGTATTTGATAGTTACACTAAGAACTATATAATTGTTTCGTTCACTGCATTCGCGTGATAGATTTTTAATCGTCTTCATTATCCGTGTAGCGACAGGTACTGCCACTTTTCCTATTAGTTTTATTGTTATTTTTCTATACAAATATATACGTCCACAGTAAGAACGTTGGCCATGATGATTAAGCTTCTGTCTATGCTGGTAAAATGGTCTTCGGAGCTGGCAACGCGCCCTGTCTAGTAACGGTATTGCACGACGATAACACCATTATACAACTAATGGGAGACACAGCGAGACTTTTTTATGTAAATCTTTCATGCCAGTGATTTGACAATGAACATTTTCTGTCCAGATACGCTGCGGTTGCTATATGTTGCGTATATCGTACTAGCACGCGTCCTAATCGATGTACGATTTTTGCAGAAACAGACCATGTAGCTAAACCTTCAATGCCGAAAAGGCTATGGAAATGGTTGATGGGAACAGACGATTCGGAACAGGCGCAGGTGGAAAAGACCGACTTGCACCAGCATTTAATTAACCTTCGGACGCTGAAGCAAAATCCCATTCATGTAGCTATCTTAAATACCGCCTCGGTGTTGTGCATATCGTCCGGAATATTTTTACTCGCTTTCTGGTCCGGGATTGGTTTACATGTATATTCGGATAGCGATCCATATTAAAGACGTCGTTCGATCTTACCAGCACACGCACAAACAACGATTACTGACGTGTGTCGTTGACCCCGCCGTTATTTCCGCGAGAAGATATTAAACGCGACATTAATCCTCGACTGGTGATGTTCTCGGCACTTTTCAGGTGCGATTCTCAGGCGACGGCTGCTCATTGACACGTATTGTGAGACCACACACGTGACGCACGTGAACCGAGCCAGTTAATACATTTTTTCACCAAGAATTTCAGGCTGCGGTCGGCCCGACATTTCACACGCATCTGTTTATGCTACGTGGAGCTATTGTCGGTAAAATGGAAAATATATACCCGAATTGAAAGCAACTCGTTCGTATGTCTACTGGTGATGTATAGCTTCTTATAGAACATTCGTCTGCAATCCGAAGAAATCCCGCGAACGCTCGCCAAAGATCGCATTGTACAAATTCGTCAGAGCGAACCGATACGCGACCGTCTGCGCAGAAACGAAGAAAAGCGCACGCACGTCTTCCACTATCTATTTTCTTTCTCTCTCTCTCTCTCTCTCTCTCTCTCTCTCTCTCTCTCTCTCTCTC